TTTGGACAGTACAAACCCAACATTAAAAGCAGAGTAAACATTTAAAAAATAGAAATTAAATTATGCACTGGATGAACATGGAGATACAAGTCCAACCAGGGGCAGCTTTGTGTCTCATAGTTTTGCCAGCCAGAGTGGCAAAGAGGAGAAACTTTCCCACCAAGTGCCAGGGTTACGCATTGGCTGCAACAGGTTTACTCCATCACAGTGGTTTTCAAATTTGGCAACTTTGAAATGTGCGGATTTCACTTCCCAGAATTCCCAGCTTGGCCTGGCAGGGCAATTCTGTGAGTTGATGTCTACACCTATTAAACTCTGCTCAGTCCTATCAAAGCAGCCACAATGGTTTCTGACAAAGAATCTTAATCTTGTATGTGCTGTTCTGACCACTCAATCCCTTTTCCTCCCCTATTTCTCTGATCCCTGGGAAGGAGGTAATGGCAAACCACTTCCGAAAAGCCTTCCTGTCCAGCCAGGCTCTGAGAATCGGGCGTGACTGAACAGAAGGAAAAACAACCTTCAACACGGAAATAATGCTGACCTGAACCGAAGAAGAAGAGAGATCGACTCAGCCTCCCTGGCCAGCATTCTCTCTCACGCAGGGTGGTCAACCAGTGGCCTACCGAGAGGAGGTCCAGGCAGGTCCTCACCCAGTGGGGCTCCCCTGGATGTGGCAGGTGGAGGTGGGCTGCCTGTACCCATGGGCAGGCCCGGTTCTCAAGCTTTGGGGCCTCTGAGGGGCCTGCCCCAAGGAGCTGGTCTGTCCTCCTGTGGAAGCCCGCTCAACCAGCAGCCAACCCCAGATCCCTGGCAGGGTGTTCAGCTGGCGGATCACACGCTGGGTGGAGAAATGCTACTTCCCCTTATCAGATGTGAGTTTCCTTGGGTGGCCTCCAATTCCAGTGCAGTGGCAGATGGAGAAAACCCTGTTTGTTCTTTGGCCCTTTGGTCCGTTGTACACATTCACTCCTTGCTGACTGGCCTTAGAAACAGCCTGGAGTACGGAGGAGAGTCCACTTGGGGAACTGAGGGGGGGCCCCGTTCTGGCCATGGGGACCCGCAGGTTTCCTTCGGGACACACACCCGCCCATGCTGTGACCCGGACAGGTGGAGGATTCCCTTGGAGGAATGCAGGAAATAATTGCTGTTGGTTGTAGCTGCTGCACCTGACACCCAGGCTTGAGCTGTTCAGTCTTGTAACTAGCCCTGTGCAATTGGGCACCAGCATTCCTTCGCCAGTGGAAAGGGATGATGGGAGTTGCAGTCATCTGCTGTGTCTTCTAATGGCCAAGAAGCGGTCAGGAGCGAGTGCGGAAGTCTGGAATCTGGAGAGAGAAGCTCCCTGTGAGCTGCTGAGCTGAGCCAACCAGAGGACATTCGCCCCAAGTGTCTGGGAAAGAGGGTTTCCAGCACAAATCCCTACTTATCCTTTCCAGGGTTTTTCCCAGGTCAGGCCGATGGGTCCGTAGTTTCCCGGATCCTTCATTTCTTCCATGGAGCTAATCCTTTTGTGAAGTCCCTCCCAGCCTGTGCCCAAAAAGCAAAATCCAAAAATCAGCGTTGCATTTAATTATGAAGACAAACCAGTAACTGAATAGGTGTAGTAAGTTTCCAGTAGGCTTCCCACCTGTTTTATTTAGGAACAGAGGAAGTTTCACTCTGAGCCCCTTGGAAACATTACAGGGCCCTCGGTTGTTTTGGTATGTTTTCCTTGCAGACCTTCCGTGGTCCAGAAATATTCTGATGCTGCAGCTCAGGCTTAAAATCTCCCGTCTGAATTTTGAAGTCATTCCACACTGTTACTTTTCCCTGTACTACTTAGTTGATCTGGGTTTCAACTGCGCTGGTTTGCTGATATATACCCAACCTCTTCTCAACTTCCATTTCTTCCTGACTGTGAGGCTTCTGGGGCACATTGATATTTAGTTGCATCCCTGCTTCCTTCCACCCACACGATATTTCCTGTGCGACTGGCTGCCACACAACTCCGAAGTATGATAGAGCAACCCTCAAGCTCAACAATTGACAATGTGTTCTTTTCTTCAACTCACTTCCCCACCCGCCAAATGTCAGTAGTTGTGGCTGAACAGTTCAATTTTTGTCTCATCAGTCCAAAGCACTTTGTTCCAAAATATTTCAGGCTTATCATGGTTTTCTCTTGCATGTTTGAGATTGGCGTTTCTCAACTTTGGCTCCCACCATTCCCCAGCCAGCATTTCCCAAGCCTTGACCTCAACTTTTCCATGTCACCCCCATTTCTTAATTAGGTTTCTTACAGTTGAAATTGCTAACCGGTAGCCAGGAAAGTTTTCAAGCTCTCCCATTTGGCAAGAGAGAATTACGCTCGTTTTTCAGGCACTCAGGGAATGTTGATGGTTGTCAAAATAGTCAGAAACATTACAATCTAACAAATCAGAAGGATCCGGGTTCCCCTTTGGAACTGCCTTCTCCCGCTTAACTGTAGGCCCAATCAGTCAATCAGCTTTGGCTGTAATATGTTTCCTTTTCTAGTCACGCTGCGCTTACAACACACACTTTCCTATTTTAAATATGTAAGCAATGCACAAAAATGCATTGTAAGCGTTCAAATTTGCAGAACAACCAATTTATATCCCAGAGAGGCTGGTCAGAGCAGTGAAGCATACCGCTTGTTTTGCATGTAAGAGTAATTTGATTGGTTGTTTTGGTCATGGTTTAGAGTGATGTGTCATCCAACTGCGGTATGAATGCAGCCATTATAGTTTGTGAACTGTGGTCCATGGCTTACTCTGTGGTACGAAGCAAGCCTCTGTGGCTCATCCAACCACAGTTCACACAATCACCCTGGAGGAAGAAGGGAGCTGGTACGTAACCCAACCTGTGGCTTTGGGCCAACCCCCTTATGCTCACAGCCACCCGGGAAGAATAATCATCTCCATTACACAAACGGTTTTGCTTCGGGCCCAGCCTGAACCTTTGCAATTCAAGTTTCTCTTCAAGGGAAGAAGCAGGATTGCAATGAGACACAGAGAGCACTAACATTTGCATAAAGAGTTCCTTATTTAATTTATAGTCTTCCTTTAAAAAAAAATACAACAAAGTATTATGAAAAGTGTATTTCACTCATTTAAATATCTATTATCTCAGCGTATTAAGGAAGAAATAACAATCAATCACAGAAATATCTTACATGAATCAAATTAATTTATCCACACAATAAATTAAAATATTAAATAATAACCTTCAGTGCAACATATACAGAAGAAAAAAGTGTAACCTTGGTTAAAAATAAAACTTCAATTTGGCTATGGACCAAACTAAACTTAAATTGTGAAAAAGGACAAAATGTTAACTTGGAGTCAACACACAGAATGGGGAAAAGGCATCTAGTGGCTGATAATTCAGCATAATTCAAATGCACTTAAGATGAAAAAGGGCTCTTTTGCCTTAGCAGAAATCTTTTGTTTGACAATTTTAAACCATTTCTCTCCCCAAAAGCCTTGATACCTCTACGCTCAGCTTAGTGTTGATTAATTCCATAAGTCCGGGTCGCATCAGATTAAACACTGGCTAGCTGAAAGGATGCTGTTCATTTCTAAACAGCACCACACAACAGAAACCCGGAGAAGAGCAGGAGGCTGCCTTCACTCCGCAGAGGCTCTTCCCCCCTCCCCCCCTCCACCCCCTTGAAAGGGGAGACCATCCTGTCCTGGACGGTTTGCCGTTCAAACGATCCAAAGCCCAACCCCGGACAAAGGCCAGGGGAGCCAGGTCTGGTAGGAATCCAGCTCTCCTCCGTAGAGGCAATTCTCCACCGAAAGGCCGAGCTCCTTGGAGTTCCTTTCTTCCTTTTTTACTTTTTTGAGAAACTCCCAATCTATAGACTGGGAAAGAAGGGGGTGGGTTTAAAAACCCAATTATTTCTCCTTTGAGGAAAGTCAGAGAGGGATAGGGCGTTAGGATAAGGGCAGAAAAAGAATCGACCCACTAAAAATAACAGAAGCCTCTGTCAGCCAGACAACTTGAGGAACAAAGCCAATGTCCCCCTTTCATTCCTTTGTCACATGGCCACAAAGTTTATGGCACGAAGCTCCCGTTGGCATGCCAAGTCATCCGTTTGGGGAAATGGAACCTGAAAAATCAGGAGTGTCGGCAAATATACCTTCTTTCCATCAGCAAAGGAAAGAAGGTGAAACTGATGCTTTGGCTTGCATGCAAATCAGAATTAATTGTTGGCTCTCGAAACATTTCTCAGATCTATTACTCTCTCACTTACCTGGGCACAGGTTTCCTTTAAACCTCCATGCACCTGTCAAAGGCCTGGTTCCAGGGCTTCTCGGCCTTCATGAGAAGAACTCGACTCCCAAAGTTCCCCTGGACTCGCGGAAGGCCATCCGGCCACACACTTGCACAGGTTTTCCCAGATCTACCTCCCTCTTGGAGCCAAACCCTTATGTCGTGCCTGTGTGTGTGTGTGTGTGTGTGTGTGTGTCAAAACACGCAAGCACCCACACAATTGTGGAATGTCGTCCCCAGTCCTAAGGAATGTTTGTGACTTGGAGGAATCTTCTATCTCCCGAAACATTGCAATAGTCAGAAATCCCATACAAGCACGTAAACCTAGAAACGGTGCAGCGTTTTAAAAACACCCCTGCTAAAAATGGATTTTTAGTAAACTTCTCATCTAGTTCAAAGGCGTTTAAGTCAGTATTAAAAACAAGGCCAGACGCGCCTCTTCCAACGCCCCATTCCCACCTGCCATGTAACAGCTCAGGTTTCTCGGGTCTGATTTCTTGTGGGAAAAAGGTAGCAAAGCTGCCACCAAGTAACCCGGAGACCCCGGCCGAGGAGGCCAAGGGGCTTTCTCAGCGTGGCCAGGAGCAAGGACTCAGAAGGAGGGAAGGGAGGGCAAGCCCCTCTGCTCTCCTCCGGCTCGGAGAGGCTGGGTGGGCCAGTCTACCCCCCCCCCCCCCTTCCCCAAACAGGATACTACAAGACACGGACAAGGCTGATGCTTTTTCTTCCGCAAGGACGCTCGAGGCTGACCGGCCACAGGGAGGCTGGGCTGCTCCCAGAGGCCTCAAGGGGCGCGTCCTTCCGCTGGAGAGGGGTCCAAAGACACAACGGACAGAGGCAAAGCCCTTCAGGGGATGTTGGGTCCCGTCTCCGTTCAACAAACCTTTTCCAAGGCAGACCAGGCACACACACACACACCCCACCCTCGAACAAGCTGCTCCTTTGGTGCTTGCAGTCAAAGTAAAGCTGCCGATTGTCACTCCCTCTCCAAGAAGACTTGGAGATTTGCTGCTGGTCACAAACCACCCTGTAGGTTTAGTCAGAGGCTGCACTGACCAGGCGGCTCCTTCAGGAAAGTTCTGGTGGAAGGTCCGGAGAAGGCCTCAAAAATGGCACCACTCTGGCTTTCTGGTACGTCTCTGGGAACCGTCTTGTCCGTATGAAAGTTTTTCTCAGAATATTGTAGGCCTCTCAGGTACAACTCTGTGCTGTTCCCATCTGGCGGTCTGGTGTTTGTCAGACAACTGCAAAACAAGCAAGGAGGTCAGTGCAGACCAAAAGAAACCTCTGGGTTTTGCCCTGGAAGGCCACACAAGGGGAGGATGACCACCGTGGAGTTTGAAAGGGATTATTGAACAGAATAACAGAGTTGGGGAAAGGACTTTTTTTTGGGGGGGGGACTTCTAGTTAACCCCCCTTGCTCAAGCAGGAGACTAGGCAAAGAGGTGGCAAGCAGGCCTTCAGTCGAGGCCGCCGATTTCCCATCCCAAAAGAACCTCTGAAGGACGTTGGGTGGAGCAGCAGCAGCAGCAGAAGAAGAGGAGGCCGTTTTATTCACCTCTTTCCCTGAGAATTGTTCATTCGGTCTGTTTGGAGGCCTGGTGTTTTTCATGCTGAGTGTTACAAACCAGGATTCAGCCTCTGTCTCCAATCTGTCCCTCTGGGCCCACTTTCCCTTGAGCCAAGCAGGGCTCAAGCAGGGGACGCCACGGATACTCTCCACAGAGAGCCCCCCCCCCACTTTGCGCCCTCGCCTGGCCCGGACCCCCAGGGCTCTCCCAGCCGGTCTCCTCCTGCTCGAGTGCCAACCTTCTTCCTTTGCCCACGCCAAATGACAGAACCAGGATTTGATTGTCTGAAATGACAAGTGCCAGATTGGCACAGATACGGTGGCTTTACCTGTCTCTGAGTGGCAGCAAGACGTGGCCCCCTTCAGCAGCCCGGTGGGTTTCTCCTGCCTGCAAACCACCGTCCGGCACCACTCGCAGCGCTTCCGTATCCTGCAGCAACTGCAGAAACACACACAATGGTGGGTTAATCAGACGAAGAAGTTTGGGCCAGGAACGGGAATGGCTGGCAGGCAAGGAGGGAAAGGAAGGAGCAGAGAATTGGTTTCCGGAGCGGAAACAATGGGGGGCTTGTTGGGAGGCAGCCCACGTGGCTTCAGCCTGTCTGAACCAAGACTTGTCGGCAGGGTCCCGTAGAAGCTCGGATCCACCCCAGAAATGGACCAGGGTCCCTCAATCTGTCAACGGCATGGAAGCCCTTCAATCCAAGACTGGAATCCAAGTCTTGTCAGCAGCTCTTTGGCTAACCCGATACTGACAGCCAAATATGGCGGACTGACCCCAAAGCCCCCCACCAAGAATTAGGCTCCCCGGAACCCTTTGTCCTCCCAAACCCCTGGAGGAAGCTAGGCTGCAATCCCCCAGAAGCCGCGGCTCCTGCCACGAGCCCTGGCCTGCCCAAGAGAGCTCAGCTGCGCACGGGAGTCCATGCCAGCCTTGGCTCTTCAGGGGCCTCCAGCAAAGGCGGATTCAAGCCGGCCCTCTGCAGAATTATACTCACTGTATCAGGACGCAGACCATGATAACGACAATGGAGGCGACGATGGAAACCACCACCAAGGCAGTGATGGTTTGTTTCTTCTGGGTGTCAGCCACCACTGCCAGGAGGTCGGCGAGCTCGCAGCGGGCACCCATGTACCCAGAATGGCACCTGGGCAAGGAAAGCAGGAGCCTCGTCTTAGGAGGGGAGGGAGTGGGAGGGAAGACCGCCAGTCTGGATTCCAGGCCACCCAGCGCGAGGGGCTTGGAGGGGAGCCAGCCGCACTGCCGCCCAGTGCCCAGAGCCAGGCTCAAGCACCGGCATACGGCTGTTTTGCAGCTGGAGAACCCACCCCTTGCTCAAGCGCTGGAGAAGCGCCAGCCATCCAATCTCCCCACCGCCTCTTTCTATGTGGCTCCATTTCTGTGCGGTTCATCTCTTCGTGTGGAAGAGACTGTGTGGAAGAGACTTCGTGTGGAAAAGACTGTGTGAGTCTTTTTAAATCCTAGGACCATGGAATCACAGGCCGGAAGGGACCTTGGAGGTCTTCTAGTCCAACCCCCAACCCATAGCAAGGAAACCCATAGCAGGAAACCCATAGCAACCCATAGCAGGAAACCTGATATCCTCCTGGACAAATGGTTGTACGGGATGCTATAGTCCAGATGCTGAAGGCAGCGCGGTGGTGTCTAGGTGGTGTTTCTCGGCCTTGTGAACTTCAACTCCCAGAGCTCCCTTGCAGGAGTGGAGGAATCATGGGAGTTGAAGTTGCCAAAATTGGGGGGCCAGGCCAGCTGCAGAACATTGGAGCTGGGAAAGGTGGTCTTGGTTAACAAGCCGGTTCTGCTCCGGCCACAAAGACAGAGCGGGGCCACCTTGTTCAGATGGAGGCTGGGAATCTTGGGTGATCCCAGGAAGCCCCCAATCCCTGGGGGGCTTGCAGGGGGTCCCGTGCAACCAATGTGCAAGTCCTTCTGTGCATCCAAACACACACACACACTGTTTTTCAGGGCAGGGAAAGCAGGACCCGGGCTGCTTCCTTTCTTCTGAGGCAAGAAGTGACCCAAGAGAGGAGGAGGGGGAGGGGTGGGGGGGAGGGGGGGAGGGACAGACCGACAGGACAGATGTTCCAATTGGCGTGTTACCTTTTGGTGCACACAGATACAGTTACCCCTTGCTGAAGGGGTATGACACCCAATTCCCCAGCCACGTTGGGCCTTTTCTGCTCTGGGGCCCTGAGTTCAGGGAACGCCCCCTTCAGAAAGCAGAGGTTCCCAGGAGACCCTCTTCCCCTCCCGCAGGGTCTTAGCCAGCAGGGAGTCCCCCCAGGCCCAGAGGCCTCTTGGCTCCCAGGGCTGCTCCATTTGCTCTCCTCCCCCTCCTCAGCTGTAACTGCCCTGCGCAGGCCTTTCACAAGGCCAAAGCAAACACTTACACGCAAGTAGGTTCTTCTTCTTGCACCAGGAATCTGCAAGTCCCGTGGAAACAAAAGGTGCTGTGGGCATCTGGACAGTTGTTAAAGTGGGATCTCACTGCAGCTGCCATCGGGGGACCTACATGCCCAAAAAGATCGATTAGTTTTCACACCTGCATTCAGGCCACTCCGAGTCTCTTCCAGCCTGCTTTCTGGAGCCAGTCGGCGTTTCTCCAGAAGATTGTCAGAACGTTTTATTAAAGCTTCACTCTATGATGAACGGAGGGGTTTCTTATTACACCCATTTTACAGGCAGGGAAACCAGACCGGGGGAAAGCCCAGCAAGGCCAAACCACGATCCACCTATCACAAGAGGGACCGGGGGAAGCCCCATCAATGGTTCTTCACACAACTCCTCCTCCTCCTCCTCCTCCTCCTCCTCCTCCTCCTCCTCCTCCGCTGCTGCTGCTGCTCTTCTCACTCCATGATCTGCGGCCGGGAACAAACTACAGTCTGCTGCTTATAATGGATTCCTATTTTCAAGTGTCAGCACAATACAAAATGAAGACAGGAATCTAAATTGTCACAGGGCCGCATTTGGGGCACCTGGCAACCTGCTCCCACTTACAACCAGTTGCCAGGCGCCTCCTGCAATCATTGGGAAGCCAGTGGGGAATTGCGGGGCGTTGTGGACGCCTCTCCTCCTTGGGAAGGGGTTGGAAGAGTCGCCTGCCGAGGGAGGCGCAGAGGCCGCCTCCGACGGGAGGAGGGCAGCTGATGTCCTTGGGAGCCGCTCCCGAGAGGCCAGGGCAGGAGGGAAGGAGCCTCAGGCCAGCCAGGAGCGTCTCTTCCTCAGGGGCTGAAAAGCCTCCATGGATTTTGAGGGGGATGATTTTCAGCTCTTGAACAGCAGGGCTGCCCGGTAAAAAGGGGGCCATGTGGTGTCTCAGGGGGGCTTTGAGAGACTGGCGCAGCCATGCAGGAGCGCCTTCCCCTCCAGGGCTGAAAACCCCGCTCGGATTTCGGCAGGCGCCATTTTCAGCTTCCCAGGGTTTCAGCCACCGTGTCCTCCTTACCTGGGGCTCTGCCTCTTAATGACACATATCATCCTTAATGACCACAATCCAGAGGGCCAGGATTGCAGTCACTGAGTGAAACAGTCAAGTGGGCAGTCACGCGGCATCTCACTTAACAACCAATTCACTCAACCATTGAAATTCCGGTCCAAATTGTAGTTGTTAAGCGAGGCCTATTTGTACGACTACTTGTAGGAAAATGACGCTCTAGCCCCCCTCTTGGAAGGCACCATGGGAATTAAAAGCCCGGAGGGAAGGCACCACAGTCCAAGCTCCCCGTTTTCATCCTGCCTGCCTTGAGATCCGGCTACGAGATGCTACTGGAGCAGAAACAGCTGCTGAGCCCAGGAAGGAAGTTGGCCATATTTTTCTCAGGCCGGTGGGCTGAGAAAGAATGCACTGCGATCAAACCACATCCATTTGCAGGAAGAGGCTAATGGAGCGTGACATCAGTCCCAGCCTTTGGAAGCATGTGTCTTGAAACTGCCTTCCGAATCACTTCCATGCTCAGCACGGCTTTCCACATCGGGTCTCCCCGCTGCCCTATCCGGAGCTGCCTTCCAGCCTCCAAGCGCTGCCCGTGGGCACGCTGTTCCCTTGGTGGGCCTTCCTTAACTCCCCGTGAAGCCCTCCAGCAGGTGCAACCAGGTGCGTCATGCAATCACCCCAAAGTTGCACCACGCTTCATGTTTCACGGGAAGAAGCAGCCTGCCCTACGCGGATCCTGAGAACTTGAGCACCGCTGGTGGTTGGCTCTGCCTCCCTTTTCATGGGCCTTGACAACCGGGAGAGGCAAACTTCAGCCAAGCAGCCCTTGGCCAGCACCTGGGCAGCAGCCAGAGCCTCATTCCTGAGGGATCCAAGTTGCAGACCAGAGGTGCTTGCAGTCGGAAATCGCTCCGTGCTCGGAGGCGATGATTTCTGAAGCCCAAATTCTTGACTTACGGATTCCAAGCGGGGGTGGGGTGGTGGCATTAAATCTTTTCTGCCGAGAACAACAAAGGCTTCGCTGCGGCCCTTTAAAACTGATCCCATCTGTCGTTTTACTGGATTGATTGTGGTTGTCCCACTCCAAAGGACTCCCACAGCACAAGCCTTTATAGACGGCGGCCTGTTTCATCAGACACATCCAGAACACAACGGGGGGGGGGGGGGGGGTTGCAAGAACCACTTAAAGCAGCTAAGTCTCGGGGTGGAAAAGGGTGGGATGGAGGCAGCCTGTGCCTCGCCCACCACCCACAAGGCAGCCGAGCGAGGGGCGTCCCCAGGATGCCAAAAAACGCAAGAGGGTCGTTACGGCAACCACGGGAGGGGCCTTGACTCTGCTCCCCCAGCCATGGCCGCCTCCCTGGTCCTTCAGGGATGCTTCCCGGGCCCCTCGGCTGCGGCTCCCGGTTCAGGCCAGAGGAAGCTGCACCATCTTCCCCCCTCAATCACGGCCAAGCACCAGGCCTCAAATCCTCTGGTCCTCCCTTCACATTCATCAACAAAGATGCCCCGCTTTAAGGACGGGGACCACCCCACAAGGGGGGCTGCAGTGGGCACAGCACAGGCCCGAGGGGAGACGGGGGAATTCTCCTTTCTGCCCCATGTCTGGCTCTTGCAAGCCAGGGATGGTTTCAAGCGTTCTTTCAGTTCCACGCCAGCTCAATTAAACATGCAGAGGAAATCCTCAACTTCTGACCACGATTGAGCCCTGCAACAGCTGTATGAGAAACGGCCATGGGGTCCCTTTTTTCAGTGCCGTTGTAACTTTCAGTTGTCGAGGACTCCCATAAGGCCCTCAGTCACGCTGCAGGCCGGCCTGGCCTGCTACCAGACCCCAGACCACGATACGTTTGTCACAGCCCTTAACCTAGTTTAACCTCAGCAGTTCTCAACCTTTTTTTCCACCACGGACCCCCTTTAAGTCCCCTTTGTGGCCACAGGACCCCCAAGGCTCAAGGCTTAAATGGTAACATTTCTTCAAGCCTTCGCGGACACCCCCCACCCCACCCCATGACGACATCGCGGATCCCCCAGGTTGAGAAGGGCTGGTCTCCCCTCCAGCTCTTTTCCTCCCAGGCCAGGCAAAGGAATAACACACACACACACACACACACACACACACACACACACACACACCGTCCACTGGCAGGCATGTCTTGGCTGCTCCCATTTTATGTTGCAAAGGGTGGAGATCATCCTCCCCCTCCTCGGAATTGGGAGGGTGTGTGTGTGTGTGTGTGTGTGTGTGTGTGTGTGTTGGATTCCTACCATGAGAGGTTCCCTTTCGCCTGCCCCAAATGTCCCCCTGACCCTCCCCAAAGAGCTCGCAGTCTGTGTCCCGCCTGCCGTGAGCCCCTCCGGAGATCTCGGCTCTATTTCAAAGCCTCCCATCAAGGGAGAGCAGAGCAGGCCAGGCAGACCAGAATTAATTGAAGCCGTTTCCTGGACCTGGAAGACATTAGACGGCTTTGAGACGGGGAACCTTTGAAAATTGATGGGCTTCCTGGCTTTGGCTCGGGGAGAAGAACCCAAAGGTGCCGAAAAGCCCAGGCAGCAGAGCAACGTGGGGCCATGCAAGGTGGGGGGGCGGGCGGAGGAGGCGGCTAAGGGCCGAGAGGCTCCCCCCAGTCGGAGTTCCTTGGTGGGTGGGGTCAGCTCCATGCCTTCCCTGCCTGACCCACCTGGGATGGGACAACCCTGGTTCTGTAATAGGGAGCTGCATTAAAAGGAGATGCTTGTAGGAGCTCTTAAGAAAGGGCTTCCGACCCATTTGGGGTAGAAAGGAAGAAAAAGGCGAAAGAGTCCAGCGTCAAAATCTGCGGACGAAGCTTAGGCCACCCGATGCTCTTGCACCCCCCCCCCCCCCCCCCCGAGCTCAACCCACCTCACAGGGTTGTTTATGATGGGAAAATAAGGACAGGTATTTGGTATTAGGCATGTTCGGCACTTATAATAGCAATTAAAGCAGGATAAAAAGCTAATAAGTATATAAGGGAATAAATACATCGGCTATGCTCTGTTCACACAGTAAAGGAGCAGCCCTGAGAATAGTCCTGCCGAACACATTCATGCCCTTCATTTCCATGGCCAAACAACTGAGAAACATTAACCATTAGGAGAAACTTTCCGTTCTAGTCAGGTCGAACAGCAGGAGAACTGAAACACAGGGAAGATATAAGAACCGCCGAGAAGAGAGGATCTAAACCTCGGGCTCTTGGCCGGCAGGAAAAACAACCGCATGCATGTGGTGACACCCACAAAACCAGAACCAGTTGACTCCAGAATCCCCTTTCCAGCACCAGCAGCTTGTGCTGCCCCACCACCAGTGAGCTTGCCTGCCCTTCGCAACCACAATTTTGCCAGGGAAGAAACGGACACGGATGATGCAGCGTTGGAGGCAGCCAAGTCGGTGTGGCAGATGCTCCAGTTAGGAAAAGGGGCCCCCTTCCGTTTGCTGGTGGCCGTTTCCCCCTTGAGGAATTGGCAGGGAAAGTGAAGAAAAACAGCCCCTTTGAGGTGGAGGTGGCAGAGCCTCCTCTATTTCCCCCTCCACATCCAAAGTCAAGCTCAGCTGCTAGAAAGGGGTTTTTATTCAACTGCCAGGAAGGCACTGCCCAACGCACACAGGCTACTTTTCAACACGGCGCTGCTGCGTAAATAACCGCGAAGCATGAATTGACCCCTTGCAAGTCTCCAAGGCTGCTTCTCTTTGAACCCGGGCAAAGCATGAACATCCCCCACCTTACACACACGCACACACACCCTACGTCCATCTAGACATGTCTGGGGTTTTGTTGTGCAGTCCCACCGTACCAAGTTGACAATATTTCTGTGGCCCTGGACAGAAAAGTGAAAAGCTGAGAGGTTTATGCCTCTCTCTCAACCGCCTTTCAATTATATCCTTTCATAAAATCCACCAAACCTCAGAGGGACCTCAGGCAGTGGCATAATTTCACACTTATGGGCCACTGTACGAGTCAGGCGAAGCTGTTGCCAAAGAATAAGTGTGTGGGTATCTAGAACCATGCAAGGCAGAGGAAACCTTGGATGCAGGACTGTAATCACCCTCACAGCTGGCCTTTCTCTTCAGGCTCCTTTTCCCCATTTTTCTTCCTATTTTAAGGTACCAGAAGGACTTTAGTATATTCATGTATCTGAGAGTTTCCCACAATAATGTCAACTCTGAAATCTCTGGCAGCTCTGACAATATTTTCCTACTGGTAAACCTCTCAAATGCGCATAGAAGTAGATATAATATCCCAGCATAGCTGAAAACTCAAGGACTTCCTTCCTACACTCGTAGACGTGGTGGGAGGTTGCACAAAGGCTCCATTTTGGCCCGGGCTAGCTCTCCAATTGTCTGTTTTTTATTGTGTGTGTGTGTGTGTGTGTGTGTGTGTGTGTGTTGACAGACAGACAGACAGACAGACAGAGAGGGAATTTAAACGGCATCTCCAATTGTCTGGATTTCTGGCTTTTGGCCAGAGACTCCGTTTCCCCACCTGAATAGGCTTTGCTACCTTCTGTTACACATTGACTAAGGCTCGGAAGAGGTGAGCCATTATTTGGGCACGTCGTTTGCTGGGTTTCTGCCCACCGTTGCCCAATGGCCTTGCCGGGCTTCGCTCTGCTTCTCCAGACTATGCCAGCGGTGTGTGTGTGTGTGTGTGTGTGTGTGTGTGTGTACAAAGTGGCAGCATCCCACATCTCGCACCAGAGCAAGGAAGTCAAGGGAAGAATGAAATAACCATTGTGCTTCCTTACTAGCCACTGAGGTGCCCCGCCTTACTCGGCAGCTGCTGCACAGCTGTAACGCATCATCAGGACTGCTACTTGATGAGTAACAGAGACGCCACTTCAGCCGAAATTAGCAATTCCCCTTTGATCTGCTGGCTTCTGGCACTCAGGCTCACCCTGTCCAACAACCATGCTGGCCGGAGCAGATTCCGGAAGCTGGTTCTCCTGAGCCAGCAAGCCAAGCTCCATCACGCCTTTCTCATCCAGGTGTTGTCCCCAGTCAGTGGCTGGGTGTGTGTGCGTGTGTGCCACTCTCTCCATCAGTGGGAAGACCCTGGCGTGTGGAAGCCAAAGAAGGCTGGGTTGAATCTATAGGCTCAGAGCTGGGGCAAAGGGGGCGTGAGGGCACTAGGAGGCGGGCAGAAGGTCCTCCCAGCCCAGAACTTGGGAGATGCCTTCAAGGTACCATTTGGGCAAATCCTGCAGGTCAACTGCAGAGTCTGATTTTCCTCTTTAGGAGAGGAGGATGAGGAGCTCAGGGCGGGCCTGAGAAAGACCCTGCCCTGATTTTTCTTCCGCCCACTGCGGACCCTCTCCCGTTTGCCACACTTCCAACTGCAGAACCAGGTGACTTTTAATGCCCATAAACTCCAGGCAGTCTGGTCACTGGAAAGGGATTGTGGGCACTGTCATTTAATGCACTACTACGTTCCCTCCCACTGCACAACTGTATTTCCCACTTCGCTGACTGTTAACTTGGGCTTAACAGGACAATTTGTGCTGCCAGATGTTGCAGTGACTGCAATCGAGTAGCAAGTAGCGGGAGACACAGCAGCCCCGAGAAGCTCCTGCCAATGAAGAGAAGGGGAGGGGGGCTGCTCAGCATATGGTCAAGAAATGCACCAATAGCACCATTAGCTTAATGTTCTGCGAGGAACTCTACGAAAGCTGGTGGCTACTTCCAAACTCTGGGGTTTTTTTTCTCCCTTAAACGTTCCAGATGTAGAGGCCCACCATACGGACAGCAGGAAAGATCCTGATGGGAGGCAGGAAGCTGCCTTCCCGCCTCCCCTCAGCTGTGCCCTAAAGAAAACTTCCACGGCCACCCAGAGAAGGGACACACCACTGCCCCTTGGAATCACCAGGGATCCACTGGAGATGCCACTTCGTAGCGTCCTAGAATGACCGACTGGAAAGGGGCCACGGAGGACACCGAGTCTTGTCCCCTCCTGAAGGACCCCCAAATTATCAGCCTTCCCACAAAACGATTCCTGGCTTTGCTTCCAGCAAAGAGGTGCCTGTCCCCTTCCTTGGTCCCTGATCCTCCTGTTCTTATTCGTCTAAAGGAGTTGGAATCCTCTTCCCCTGCCTTGGGCCCATTGTTCTCTGAGGTGAGATGAGAGATCAGCCTTCTCGGGGGTCCCCTTTCTGGATCCTTCGACAATCATCTTTTTCATCAGGCTAAACATTCCCGGATCTTTCAAGCTCTCCTGGCCATGTTCACTTCAGTTTCTCTGAACCCTCCTTAAAATGTCAGGCCCAGCAGAACCCGGGCAATTATTTGAGTGAAAGAATAACAACTGCAGCACGCTAAAAGCAGAGCCATCAGCAGCAGACACATGTTACCAAGTGTGTGAAGGGCGTGCCACGACGGAGGCAAACCTACAATTAAAACCAAGCTGAAAGAGAGGAATGCCGCTTGTCCTTGGCCGCCACATAGCCGGTGGTCATTTTGCCTGGCAGGAAGGAAGGCAAGGAAAGAAGAGGGTAAGGTGGCCCTGGATGCAGCCTCCCTGGTTAGCAAAACGCTCCCAGAGAAACGCCGGTGGAGCCAACGCTGGCACCAAATGCTACTCTCAGCAGCATCAACTGGAAGCTGCCAAACAAGATGCCACTGAAAGCGGCTGTGAGAAAAACCAACCACAGAGATGTCTGGAGCCACACCTGCATATTTGAGCAATTAGTAAGTGGTGCCCTCCAAAAGTATGTTGGAGAAACCGCTGCCGGAGTCTGTTTAGCAGGGATCAGGGAGATCGAGAGAGCCCGTTGCTCAAGAGTCTGGGGGCGAGCGAGGACACGGAAGCCCTTTCCCCAAACGAAACACGGGAAAGACTCACCTGAGCATCAGACCAATCTAGAGAGGTTGCAAAGGCGACCCCTGGATCCCTTGCTTTGCCCCGCCACGGAGCCCCCAAAGAGCCAGCCTCGTCTAGGCCTGCTTCAGAGTGGCTGTGTCATGGGGGGCTGGCTGCAGAACTCTCGGGGCCCCATTCTGGCACCGCAGCATTTGAGACCCATGGACGTGGGGCACTCTGGCGCATGGCCAGGAGTTCTCTGGCAACTGCCGGACACGCGTCCTGAAAGGCTGCAATCGAACGCTGAAATTGTGGGAGGGGACTTTAAGCAAAGACCCTCAAAAAGAGAAATCCCTCCAGGAACAGCAGTAATCGCCTCAGGAACAACACCCCACGCTGGCCAAGAGATGAACCAAGGCAGAAACAAAAGAGCACCGATGGTCCCTGATTCATAGCCATACATTTAGGGACCCCTCAAAGTTACAAACGGGCCTGAAAAAAGCAACTTGGGAGTATTTCTCACACTTTCGACTGCAGGACGATTCCCACCCTCACATGTTCAGAATTGGGGGGCTTGGCAATTGGCAATTGGCCTTGATGACAGGTACAGGCTCCTGGGGTTCGGTTGTCACACCTTCCCAGGTGGCTTCTGACAAACAAAGCCAATGGGAGACACTCACTCAGTGACTGCAGTGATTTATTTAACTGTGGCAAAAAGGTTACAAAACTCAGTTAACAAAGGCCTTGCTTAGCCACAGAAATTTTGGGCTCAATGGTGATTGGTGTAGTCCTTGGCTTATGACGACCTAGACTAGTCCAACCCGGCCCAAGGCAGGAGTCCTTACACCCTCACAGTCAAATGCCTGTCCGGTTTATTCTTGGAAACCTCCCGTGATGGAGCCCCCCCCCCCCAATTCCGGGAGGCCAGAGGTCCCACGGATTAACTGTTCTGTCACTTTCGGACCTCGGGAGCCGAAGGGGATTGTCTGGTTCAGGTGCTTGCTAAGAACTGAGTTCCCCCAAGAGGCTGATTCACAAACAACCCAACCCCACTGCAATCTAGACCAGCGGTCACCAACCAGTCAGCCCCCCAAGCACGTGGGCTTACAGCCTTCCCCGCTTGCAGGTGGCCACAAGCCCAATCCCCCTGGAAGGCCTCTGGCTAGGCAGGGCCCATGTCCTCCGTGTATCCAAGCCCCAGAGTGGCTGATGCTTGGGAGATGCCCTGACACAGCCCCACCCAAAGATAAGAGCGGTCGCGGGTGAAGTTTGAAGACATTACATCTTGCGATGCAATAAACTCACCCCTCAAGGCTGCTGTTGTGTTCTCTAAGGCATGGCACACCGCCAACAAAACACCTACAAGAAGAAAACATCCAAGTTAAAAACAATCAAGCAGCTAATTGGAAATTACACATTGACTTTTAAATTTTGATTGTATGACATCACATTGTGGCAATGTATTTTAAGAGCTGTTATTTGAGTCTGTTAATGGCCAAACACAAGTAGAATTCTGGGAGTTGAAGTCCACATATCTTAAAATTGTCCAGTTTGAAAAATGCTGTCCTAGAGCAAGCCCACCGGACAGAATGCCTATTTCCGCATCTACCTGTAGCACGTGGCAACTCCACGGCAAGCTACACGTTCTCTTCCTTTGAAATACTGGCGAGGGGGAAATTATATCGTCATTCAGCATGTGAGCAAATCCACTTGAAGTCCAAACAGCGGCTCTTGCTGTGACTTACTTTCCAAAGTAGCCTCGTATTTGCAAAACCAGTATAGTTATGAATGTACTTTGCATACATTCCAACCATTTTTCTAGGTCCCATTTGCAGGAAGAAAACAGACTTGAATTTCAACTGGGGAACGAGCTGGACTTGAGGGGAGGGAGCGAGAGAAGAAAAAAGAGAAGAGGTGTGTCAAGAGCTGCTACCAGTAGCTGGAAGCCGCCCTCCGTGGCAACTTGCTTTAGGACCTCCGCCCCTTAGGCGCCACCAGACCCCTGGCTAGTGAGGCTACCCACTTTTCGCACAACCAGAAGCTTTTAAAGGGGAGTTTTTCAGCCTTGCAACTTTAAGATCTGTGAGCTTCCACTCCCACAATTCACAGCCAGCAGGCGGCTTTTAGTAGATTGCTGTTCTATTGCAATTTGGGGGTTGGATATCTATCGATATTTATACTTTGCTCTGAGGATCTACTTGAAGTGCAGACATCTTAAAGTTGCGGAAAGTTGAGAAATGCCGCTCGAAAGAATCGGAGAGGCCGAGACTCAAGACTCTCCCCTTTCCAGTCACACACTGAGGGCTATAGAAATCCTATCACAATATTTGTTTTCTTCTCCACCGAAGTCTGTAAGTCTATAAACGGAACGGTCGGGGGAAACCCAAAATGTTGCCATCCAAGCCCCAAGAGCAATTCCAGGTAAGGTCCTTCTCCTCCCCTGGAGGAAAAGTATTTATTCACCTGACCTTCTCAAGCACGGAGGGATTGTCCATGTCAGGGGTAGACGTGGATCTATTTTCCTTCCCCCCCCTTTATAAATGCTCCGACCGGACACCCAGAGTTGGATCTTCGACAGAACACAAAAAATGTGGCCTGATTTGAGGCCACCGAAGCAAAAACCCGAATCTTCTTCTTCTTCTTCCCAGGTCCTCCCTCCCTTGCTGGACCCCTGTGCAATATATGCAGCTGCCGCAGTGGCTCTGAATGCAACTGTTGTGAGAAACTGCCCTTGCAACCCCCCTCCCCTGGCAGAGAGGGACCTGAAAGGAGCCCCCAAGTGCGAGTCCCCCAAAAGGCAAACCAGGGAAAAAGCAGCTCCCACAACGGCCGCCGGAAAACCAGTAGGAGCAATCCAGCCTCCTAAGCTTGCCCAATTCAGGTCCTGAAGAATTCTCTGCTCAGCCAAACTCCAATCCTTAAAAATTCGAACATTTTAAGAGATTTTGTCAATGACTGAAGGAAACTTGGCTAGCAGTAGCCGGGCCCCAGCTTCTGCCGTTCGAGAAAGGGGCCTTCTCGTTTATGGAAGGGCTTGGCCTGCAGGTGAGCTCAGGGCCAGCCTGGCGTTGCCTTACACCGAGTCCCCTCCGACAGGACCGCAAAACAGAAACCGGCGAGACTCCATGGTGGAGGAGAAGGGAGAAGAGCAACACATCCATCGTCCAAGCAGACCTATTCTGGTTTCCGTCTGGGGAGTAGAAGAGCCGTTTCCACGAGGGTGTGGGCAGGGCTGGAGAACTTAGCCAAGGCCGCAGGGTTCGGCTCCGGCTACGCTGCCCTGGCATAAAAAGCTGTACTTTGACCCCCTCCCCTCCCTGAAATTCTATGCCAATGAGTCACAGTGAGATGGCAGGGAAGGAACCAACACCCCCGGGCCGAAACCCTGGCCTGCACAATCACGTTGCGTTTGTCGGCTTCTGGGAAGAGGGAACCGAGGCGCTGGCGGCGCAGAGATTCATGCCCCCCAGAGGGCTTTCAGTCGACAGCAGCAGGGAGCACGTTGGCACCCTTGGGAGGGAGGGAGGAAGGGCTCCCATCCAGCCACCCACCAGAGGACGGGATTCCAAGCGAGGCCAGCAAAGCCCAACCCTGGGAGGAGCAGGGCAGCCTGCAAGGAGGCCTGAGGGGACCCGACGAGAGAGGCTGCAGGCAGAAAAAGGCCGCCCTCCCTCCCTCCCTCCCTCTGCAGCCTGACCCAGGGGAGGCCTGCACCGGCTGCTCCATGGGGGCAGAAAGCCAAGCCAAGGGGGACCCACCTGTACCTCCAGCCACTGGGAGAAGGAACCGAGGCAGAGAAAACCGACAGCAGAAAGAGATCAGTTTGCACAAACTTTCTTGGGAAGGGGGGAAAGGGCCCACGGGGGGGGGGGGGGGCGCATTTTGCACAAGGTGTATAGCTGGGAAGAGCAGAGTCCACAGGTCCATAAGGCTTTGCCTGCCACAGTTCTACAGTACGATGTGCCAGGCTCAGCTATAGGTACCTGGAATCCAAGGGCAGGAAGGGGCTTGGAGGCCCTCTAGTCCGCCCTCCCCCTGCCCGGGGCAGGAATTCCCCTCCCCCCCCCAAGGCAAGGGGCTGCCTGGCTTTTCTTTGAAAACCTCCCAGGATGGAGCTTCAGCGAGACCCTCCGTCCTGCCCTCCCCTAAGCCTGGTCTCTGGATAAAATGCAGGCAGCCCCGGAGCTGCATGGGTGGGTGGGTGGGGCGCCTCCCCCTGACTCAGCAGAGGGATCCCCTGCTGGAATGGCCGGCTGGGCTTCCCTGCTTGGAGGGATGAAACTGCGGAGGGTCCTTCCCGGGAAGCCCCAGGAGCCCCTTCCCCATTCAGCAGAAGGGCTAAAATGTCTCTTTCCAACCTGGCCTTAGCCCCCCCCCCTTCCTCCCACCCACCCCATGGAGACCCCCAGAATTCGGATCCTGATAGAACAAGCTATAAAAAACAAAGTTCACTTCGATGTTTAAAAACAAGCCACCTTTCTGATGGCTACCTTCTTTATACACGACCCCCAATCTCGGTTAGGTTTTCCCGGTTTAAAGGCTGTGTTTCCTTCTCAAGCCAAGGCTGATTGGGCCACAAAGAGGGCGGCCAGATCAATGGCAGAGCAGGGCCTTCAACCCTCACGCTGGCACCTCTCCATTTCTGAAAAGCCACCCGGGGAAGATATGGAGCCTCCTCCAACTTAGGTGGTCAGATATACAATCCCTCTGAGCAGGTATCTCCGTGATAAGAGAACCTTATGCAATTGCAATCCCATGAGGGTTAGAAGGGGACCCAGTTAGCCATTCATGCCAGATTCCACCCTGAAGGGCATCCATCGTGTTTCGCTTCAGAAACTCCTGAAGGCCCCCCCACCCCCCCACCCCACCCCCGTGGCTGGAACTCAGCAGTCTGGAGCAAAATTATTAAGCAGCGTTGACTCTGATCTGACACACCACACAAGTTCCAAACTTTCTAATGGGTATAGGCGGCACATATGAAACATAAAGCGAGGCGTAGCCTCTCCTCTTGATATCAGTGTCAGAAGATGCTCAGAAATGGAAAACGATGACTACACATTTCTAGATTTCTTGGGGAAAGGGTGTGCTGCTAACCCTTGTCCTGGACATTTGAGTTTTGTTCTTTTTACGCCTTATAACAGTTGCATAAGGAAGGGACAAAACATCGTGTTCCTCTTTTCCTTGAAAACTAAGGAAGGAACTACACTTTTCTGCCCTGGACTGGAGCCTGGAGAGAACATGTATCTGATGTGGTTGCAACTAAAGATGCAAAATGATGCAGTGTCTCAGTTTGTCACCACGAACGTCCTGTTTGGGGGTGTTCTATAGGAAGAACCTCTCCAGCTTGGACATCGTCCCCCATATAGCCAGCACCAACGGGAGCGGCAACGCAGGATGCCAGGTGAAGCAGGAGCAAAGAGCTCCGCAATCATGGCCTTCGTGGCATCTCTCTACACACCACAACAGTGAAACAAGGGGAAAAATATTTCCCTCCCCTTCCTCTTTTTCAGACAAAGGGGCACCCTCTTCCTGGCCTGAAACTTTAGACTCCCCCCCCCCCTATTTCTTCTAATCAGGCGGCAACTTTCACAGAGGATCATTTAGAAAAGACAACACAGAATACAGAATCACAGAGCGGGAAGGAACCCTGGAGGTCTTCCAGTCCAGCCCGCTGCTTGAGCGGAACACCTTATACCGTCCCTTCCAGCCCTATGTTTCTGTATCATAGAATCGAATCGTGGTCAAATAGTTAATCTGGAGGCAAGTCGTTCCACTGGTTAATTGTTCTCACAATTATCAGGAAATTTATCCTTAGTTCTAGATTTAATCTCTCTCTAACGATCTTCCACGCATTGCTTTGTGCCCTCAGGAGTTTTGGGGAATAGGCCGACTTACCTCCGGCAGCCCCTCAATTATTGGAGGCCACATTATGCCAGTGGTAGGATACAATTTTTTTACTACTGGTTCTGTGGGCGTGGCAGGAGAAGGATACTACAAAATCCCCCTTCCCTCTCCACCCCACCGCCCTGCTTTCCAGCTCCGTTCTCCTCTGCAGGGCAACCAAAGGAGAGCCAGCCAATCAGCTGGGACTCGATGGGAGGCCGAGAAGAGGTGGGCTTGGCTGGTTCTCCCAACTACCCCAAATTTCCGGTCCCGGTTCTCCAGAAGCGGCTGAATCCCACCTCTGCGTTATGCCCCCTAACCCTCCCCTTCACTCGGCTGGAGCGACTTCTCATCTGGTTTGGCCTCCAAGCCTTTCTCGTCTTCTCTGCATCCTTTCTAGGGTCTCGGCCTCTTTTTCTCTGTTCCTTTAAACTCTCTGCCACATCATCCAAGCCATCGCTTCACAAGAGAAGATCGGAAAACGCACAAAGGCCAGAGAGCCGAGGGTGGTGCTGACAGCCCCCCCAAACAGCATTAATACAAGGTGGCTGCTTCCCCCAGAGGCTCTGAGGGGCACTTCTAGGCCGTGTCTTTGGGCCGCCTTCTTCTTCTTCTTCTTCTTCTTCTTCTTCTTCTTCAAGGCAGTAACTATGCAGGCAGCTCACAGTCCAGGGCAGGTGCCTGGGTGTAGGTGGAAAGGAGTCCTCCAACCTGATGTCCGAAATAAAATAGCAGGCGAAGAACAGCAACCACCCAGAAAAAGGACTTCGGTCCCTCCATTCTGAGGCCTCCCCTCAAGGTTCCCCGAGGCCAAAGACTCTCCCTGCCCTGTCCCAAAGCGGTCTGCACCCCAGGGGACCCGGCTGCCCTCTTGGCTTCCCCTTGGAGCTCCACCGGTTGCAGGGGCCGGAGCACCAGAGAGGCTCCCGGACCTGCCAGCACCTGGCAAAAGGCCCTAATTTGCTTGAAGACTCCAGGGAGCTTCTCCTGAAAGGCTCCGCCTCCAGCCAGGCGAGCTGCCTCTTCCGCAGTGTTTAAGATGGGTGGACTCCAACTCCCAGAACTGCCTCGACACCCATGCTGGCTGGGGAATTCTGGGCATTGGAGTCCCCCCACCTCAAAGGCCCTGAGATTGAGAAACACCGCTCTACAAAGCTGTGAAAGAAGGCAGACGGAGGGCCGGTCAGCCCCCTCCCCCAACTGTGGAGCCCAGCAGCTCCTGCCCTCCCACTCGCGAGGCTGATAGAAAAGGGGGGCCCATGGGTGCACTCGGCGTCCCAGCTCCAGGCAGCTCCCTTTAGGGTAGTCAGCGAGAGAAACCGGGCAGTTTCGGTGGCAAGGGAGAATCTGCCAGCCAAGGGCAGCCGGAGTGGTTCATTCCGGGACTCTGAGGACCAGAAAAAAGTGAGCCGGAGAAAAAGGCAGGATTCCCACAACAGGTTTTTCAGCTACGCTTCCTCATAGCCAGAATCAGGAATGGTTCCTCTGTTGGAAAAGCAACAAGCAGTGGTGTTCAAACTCCTGGCAAACTTGAGAAGCAGTGGAGAAAACGTCCTCCTCCCACTTGTCAAGATATTCTTTTCTAACACAGATGAAAGAAGTTCCTTAAAGAAAATTGAAAATAAGCCCAAGCCGGATCATTACAGGTTGCTCCCGTTTCCTCTTGCCCCTCCTGAGGCCCTCTGGAGCTGGCCCTGCTGGAACTCTTCCCCCCTCCCCAAAGAACGGACTCGGGTAATAAGGGCCTGCTCCCCCCACGGAGCTTTCTCCCATCCCAAGCATTCCTCCACTCCGGCACAGCTGGAAGCAGCCTGGCCCTTGGAAACACAGCTGGAGCCTCCCTCTCGAGTGCCGGGGGTCCTTCCTTGCAGAGGGGCGTCCCTGTCTAGCCAGAGGCCTTCAAAACCTCCTCGCAGCCTAACTGTGACTTTGGCAGTAAGAAGTCGGAGGCGTTGCCTTGAACTGCTTAGTATACGGCTGCAAAGACGAAGTTACTCAGACTTGAACAGTAGTCAAATTGCTTTAACACCTGCTCAGCTGAATGAGATTAAGAGGAACCAGCCAATTCCAGATAGTCCTCCTCAAATAATCAATTTGACATCTATGCTCTACCCTTGAACCTTTCCTTGGACTCCCATATGCAGGGGTTCTTTATATGTCTCCTCAATTTCCTAATTACTGGATTGTCTGAATTCGTTTGTCAAAACTGGGCCAACAATTTGGGGAGAACTCCACCTGGCTGCTGAAAAGTAGAGCTTGCGGCCCAGGAGAGTCAGCCAGCAGAAGAGGACAACTTCTTTGCAAGTTCAGGCACCAGAACCCCGAGACGCGGGGACTTTAAGGACGAGTTTGGCTACCTATCGAACAGAGGACGGCACAGCGAATGGTGCACAGGAGAGATTATTTCGGCAGCACCTGTAAAAACACTGCTGGACCTGGCAGGGACTTACCTCTGCAATAATGGTTAAAGAGCTAGAGACCAAGAGGCATCTTAGAGCTGGGCAGCTGCTGCATCTCTAGAAAACACCTGTTCATCCATTTGTAATACCTTAAAGCAGCCATGACTTTCCCTAGGATGGCTTCACTGCCCGCTGTGGCTGAAGGGCCACACCACAAAGGTGTGGCTGCATTAAGGTGTTGCAGGCAGGTGCCACATTCCTGCTCCTGCACACAAGGAAGCCTTTGCAGAGATCAGACTGGGGTCCTCCCAGCCCTGCTGAGAACTAGAGGGCTAAGGTGAGAGGGACCCCCAAAGTTTGCAAACCAACACAAGGAGAGCCCGGTTCATTCTCTCGGCGGATTTGTGTCCAACAGAGCAGATGCGAAGATTTCAACTCTCAGAATTCTGAGGTTGATACACACCGCGAGAGAGGAGTCCAACCGCTTCCAACGAAGACCCCTCTGCTTGGCCTTTAAGAGGGGGAAGGAAAACGATGGCGCTCTCGGGATACCGGAAGAGTCCCCCCCCCCCCAGAAGAGAGGGAGCACTTGCACTGATTGGAAAGCAAGGCCTTCCTTGGCCGTTGTCCGGCTTCTTGCTCACCCAGGCATTACCAGGAGACAAGCGGGAAACCTCCTCCCAGAATGGGCCCTATGCTATGAGATGAATGCCTCCCTCCCTCCCTCCCTCGAAAGAAGGTGCAGCCTCTTTATGTAACAACTACTGAGCAATTCTAGCTCTAGAAAAACACACACCCTCTAAGAATTGCACCCAAACAATGTCGCAAAAGCATCTGGTTGGATCTACTGCGATGGGGTAATCTGCTCAGGAGGCGATGGTGGTGTTCACACTCCTGGCAGCTCTTCCCACAGAACAGCCCAGCACTCCTCGGGGTACGAGCACGAGAGCCTCCAGCGTTGTGCCCGGGACACGTTGGGAACACAACTCCCCAAATTCCAGTAAGCACAGCCACCCTGTCTGGAGTCGGAGGAAGCGGAAGCTGGTTTCTATCATCTGCTTCTTAAGGAAGATTCATCAGATGATTATCAGGCCTCTGTGAACAGCCCGTTGCTGACAAATAGTTTTCAAATACTTGAAATATTTGAAGAAGCCCAGCCAAACCTCGTCTGGGATGGCTGTCACCCAATGATGGGTGAACCTGGAGCTGGTGAACCTGTGTGCCCATCTGAAAACTGTTACACCACCAAAAAGACCTTTGAATTCCAGAACTAGACCAGCTTCATTGTAACCATGATTAGCATCGTTCCACATCAATATCCTCTGGAAGACAACCGGCTTCCCTCCAGACAGGCACAAGCAGCCTGCTGGGGGCCACGAGCAGAGGGCGTTAAACTTTCCTTTTCTCCCCAGGCCTTGCCTGACGGCCCCGCTCTGCCCATCGGCAGCCATGATCGGGGCTTGTCAACAAAGCAGCATTCTCCAGCTTGTAATTTTGCAGCCAGACCTGAAATGTGTTGACTCAAAGTAGTTCCCACTTAATTCAAGGCACTTAGGAAGGAAGCAGGCTGATAAGTCCGCGTTCGGGATGCTTAATGAGGGTGCCCGGAGGCCAGGGCCAGGAATTTCTCAACTGCATTGCTCTCCTACGTCCTGTGCAGGAATGGCATCACTGTAGTGACTCAGGTCAAATCTATTTTTTTTTGTTGAAAGCTCCTTAAGGGAGAAGTTTCCAAATTATAAGGAAGGAAGTTTCTAAAGACAAAACTATAAAAAACAAAAACAAAACACAGCCAAACCCTGGAAGGAGGAGAGCTTGCCTAGAACTGGGCAGGGCCACCCAGGGCACGTTTGGAAGCTCTGCCAGAGCCCAGGCCGTCCTCGGGAAGACTTCCCCGGCTCTCAGAATGGGCTGCCACCCTAAAGTCCAGACCCTCCAGCGGCACAAGTGGGGCACGGCCATGGGGATCCCCAACCACCCAGAGTCCCTGGAGGCAGTTTCTGCCTTCCCGATGCAGTGGCAGCTCCCCAATCCCAGGGAGATCTGAGGGGCTGGCTGGAGAATAATGCCAGCTAAAGCTTTGCGGGCACGTGCCAAATGCGCCACAGCGTTGCAGGGACATACCTGGCTTGACCTGCTGACTCCAAAGGGTTGGGGGGGCTGGGGGGCTGGGGGGGGGGGTGTTTCTCTACTGCATTTTGGGAATTTGTCTTTCTTCACACCTTCATGCCCTCAAAACTCAGCTCTGAAAGCAAGGATTTCTTTTTCAAGACTGGAGGGATCGGAGCTCTTGATTCCCTGTCACATTTCCCCAAACAGCCCCTCTGTAAATTATCCAGCTATTTCACATTTTTAAAGAGAGTAAGTAGCCTGGACAGCAATGAGGGGCAACTGAGAAAGAAACACTCCCCGGTTTGCAAAGTTTCCTTAGAAGGCCTTGAAGGGGAAAAAATGACTAGGCGAGGCAGAGAAAATGATCAAGAGCGAAACTCTTTCCAATATCAAATAGTTCAATTGAAAAATGAAGATCAGCCTCTCTCTCTTTCTCTCTCAGACAGATACTGGAAGCACAAACCTCGCACGCACGGAGAGGTAAATAGTCGCAGTTCACCTAGAAGCCAACTTGGTGCCTACAAATCCGCTACGGAGGGCCCCAGATTGCCAAAGGCTGGGAAGCTGCTTTGAGCGCAGTTCCCCCTTTCTTGAAAGAAAAGCAGGTAGTCCTCATCGAGGAGGGCGAGTCTTAGCTCCGCTTCCCGGTTTTTCTCCTGAACCCCGGAGCTCCCCAGCCTGGCTGCTTCAGCCGAGCCACCTCTCTCCTCCCGGGCGGGCGGGCGGGGCAGCGGAGGCCTGGGAAGCCGAGGGGCCCGAGCGGAGCGGCGGCTTCGGCCGAACTTCCCTCGCGCGGCGGGCGGGCGCACTTACCGAAGGTGAGCAGGGCGAGCTCGGCGGCCGCGCTGGCCATGGTGCGGGCGGGCGGGCGGGCGGGCGTTGCGGGTCGGGAGCGGCTCACCTTGTCAGCCCGTGTCCGGCTGCGCCGCCGCCCAGCATGCCGAGAGCGAGGCTTCCACCTGCGGCTGCGGACGCTCCGCTCTGGCCGGCCGGCCGGCGGGCGGCTCGCAGGTGTGCGCTGCGCCCCGCCCCGCCCCTCGGCGCCCCGCCCCCTCCCCCGCCTGGTTGGCTGGCGCGCCCAGGGAGGCCGGGCGGCTGCAGAAGCGGCGGGGACCGACAGGCGGCGCCCTTCCGAACTGCGCCTGACACGCAAATGCGCCGGGGGGTGGGGTGGCGGAGGGCGCCCATCTCGTCTGAACGCGCCTGCGCGGGTCTCCCGTCCGGAAGGGGGCTTTCTTTTCTGTTTCGGATAGTTCGGTTTTGTTTTCTCTCCCAGTTCACATGCGCGTCCTGGACATCGTCATCCCCCCGGTCAAGCTGGTTCCTGCCGTTTGTTGAGAGCCTCGCTTACCTTCCCTGGAAAGCCCTTCCTTCTTCTTCTTCCTTGCGCTTCGTCCCGTCCCAAACACCTGGAGTTTCCCCTCCGGCCTCTTCTTCATTGAGCCCATGAGGCTGTGGGACTCCGGAGAAAGGCTCCCCTGGCATCCTGGCCTCAGCACCTTTACCTGAGCCAGGGCCTCTCACCTGGGCCACTTTAAGCCGGCTGGGGAATTCTGGGAGTTGAAGTCCGCCTAAAGGCTTAAAGTGGCCCCGGTTGGAGACCCCCCATCTAAACTGGTTACATGTCATCAAGTCTCCATCCAAAAGGCCAAGATTTTCCTTTTATAGACCAAACTCGGATTATGACCGGAAGAAATCCTTGGCAACATCTCCACTTGAGAAACCGGCTCCTTGAAATCCTCCTCCTCCTGCTGGCACCTGCTTGTGAAAAGGATCCGAGCCTTTCAGAAAAGGGGCTGCAGTCTCCCCAGTTGCCATTTTTCTGCCTCTGCATGTCCACAAGCCCAAAATTGCCCAGCGAATCAAAGAAAACTTTTGGCAATTTGGCCTGATACTTTTCTCAAGGACGCCTGAACTCTGGAGGATCCATCAGCCATCAGCCTTGCTGCATGTTTTGTTCCCCCTTTCTGATATCACCTCAGTTCAGCAAATGCTGATCTGCCTTTCAGGTCTTCCAACAATGCACACATCAGCTATGGTTTGGGCTGAAAGTGGGTTAATTTGCAGAACAAACCAAACCAAACATGGCTTGTTGTCCCTCAAAATCATTGAAAACAGAAGGTGCCTCGAGGGCTTTGGGTGAAACGCTGTGATTTAGAAACTCTCACCAAACTCATCTGAGTTTTGACAAAACCTACTCCTTTGTTTCTGTGTACTGTGCTGTTCCCATATTACACCACCAATGTCATGACTAATGCAGCCAAGGAGAACCCCAGAAGGCATCAGCCCTCCCTGCCTCCCACCTCCAAGCATTTCCTCTGCATAGAGATCACATCTATTACAAAAAACATCAGGCATTAAAAAACAGAAAAACCTGCTTGCTTTCTGATTGGAGATAGGATTCCTAAACCAATGTTTATCCTGAGACAGGTTAAAATAGGATTACAGCTCTGGCTTGATATAGTTGCAACATTTCAATGATGGCTTTGCTTAATTAGCAAATTAAACTCAATCACTCCAAAAGTGAAGAGCCATCTCCTTTGGGTCTGTTTCAGTTCTCAAGTGTTAAGTTCTGTCTCCTTAGAGATTTCAGTCCTGAAAGTTGTCTTTCTACAGGTGCACAACTCACCCGCCCTCAAGCTCTGGATTCAGAAATGAGGAGGGTCAGCAATATGGCAAACGTCATGGGAATGCAACCGGGGAGTTCTTCAAGTTGGGAGAAAGCACTTGGATCTTTGAAAACGCCGCGCAGGGGGTGGTCCTCAACTTCAATGACTTTTAAGATGGGTGGACCTCGATTCTCAGAACTGCCCCCTCCCTGTGTTGGCTGAGCAACTGCCGCGGTGGCTCCAACGCCTGGGTCCCTGGCTCTTTGTTCTGGCCACCCACGGACAATCCGGCTAAGAAAAGGGCACAGAGGCCAGCAACTGGTCTCTGAACCCCCAGCTGAGCCCCAGAAGAAAAAAAGCATTTCCCTCCATTCCTGAGCTAAATCTCGTTCGCTTCTGCTGGATTTGTTGCTGTTTTGTGTCTTCTATCAAGTGGGACAATGTCTTCTCACTGATGCTCCATTCATGCATTTCAAGAGGGCCCAAATCACCTGCTATACCAGGGTCTCCTTAAGGCTGGACAATTCAGTCTAGGCCACCGTTACATTTTATGAATGCCTAAGAGCGTAAATGGCCTCACTTCACTTCAGGGACTGAGCGAGGACACCAAATGAAGCCAGAAAATGGCACTGAATCATAACCATGAGTATACTAGGCAGCCCGTGCTCTGCAGGCTCATAGTTTCAGACATCTTTTCTTACCTAAGCAGAGAATGACCGCCGGAGGCAGGAAAATAGTGGTAATGGGATGGACTTCTGACTTTTTGCTGGTTTCCCTACTGAGTTTGTTTGTGAGAAGCTGGCAGGGAACGTCAGCAATCTTCATTCCTTCCTCCTTTTTCCCTCCTTCCCTTCCAGTCATTCTGTCCTTTCCTTCCTTCCTCTGCCTCTCCCTCCTTCCCAAGAACCGCGGTCAGAGCTCAGGGGGCTTTCCCAGTGGGGGGAGTGCACAGGGGAGTAAGTGCTCCTGCAGAGACCTGGGGCTGCACCTTGGATCTGCTCCCTCAGCCCCTCTCTCCCCTCCCCTCCCCTCCCCAGATGAAAGGAAGGGCTTCTTCATCCGGCTCCTCTCTGGCTCTGGGAGCAGAAAGGCAGGCCTGGGGAATCCTGTCCTTTCCTCCCCACTGGCTTCAGGTGTGACTGGGCTCCCAGGAATGTCAGGTATTTGGCTGCTGGCTTGTGGGAGGGTGTTCCGGCTTTTGGTATCTGGGAGACCACAGGGAGTGGGTGGTGCCCAGGGGCACCCCTCCCTGCCCCTAGAACAAAGGACTTTCTTGGCCAGATATTTCCTTCTGGGGATAGGGCCAAGGAGCAGCTCCCCAACCAGTTACCTCATTCAATCCCCAACAGCCAAATTACGGGCAGTTTGATCATGGGTGGGTGGAGGTAACACTCAAAACACTCACCCACACACATACACACCCAGGAGAACTGAGAGTGCCACTTGCACTGAAGAAAGAAAGGTGCACCATGCGAGGAAGGGAAGGAATTCCTTTCGGTAGCCACAAGAGGGACGGAGGTACAGTCTCCCCCGAAATCCACCTGTCTGCGGATGACAGGTGCTTAAACTTCCTTGCAACTGAGGATGGGTAGTCCTGCCAGTGTGCCTAGGGCTTGTTCTTGCCCTCGAGGGCTGCCGAAACGGCCGCGTGGTTTTCATCAAGCAAGTCTTGATGCTCCTGGGTTCTCAGTCCATACAGTCTGCATGGTGACACCTTTACACTGCCAGGCCTGGCCTGCACGCCTGGGTTTCCAACACTCGGCATCTGGTACGGGGCAGGTGATGGCGAGTCTTATAAGGTCACACGGACATCCTCTGACCTAGTTCCGAGTTCACACACCCCTGCTGCTGCCACTGCCAGGCCAAAGAGGCTGGAGCGAGTGGTGGGGTGGGCAGCAGGGAGGCAGCAGTAGCCATGGGCATCCCATTTTCACACCCACCCATCACCACCGCCACCACTCTCATGCCAAGCTCTGGGCCCAAGAGGCGGGGAGGGAGGCAGCAGAGGTGTGTGAAAACGGGAAGCTTCTGGTCATCTCTGCTGCTGCTCTGCGCTCAGACCGCCCACTGGCTTGCCCGGCTCTCCCTCTGGCCCTCGGCAACGAGTTGTCCCTCTGGCCATTTGAAGTCCTCCTGCAGCGACTTGGCAGAGGTGAGCTGGCAGTGGCCAGCTGGTGGCAGCTAACAGGTCGCACCGAGCTGGCTGGGGTGAATGTCTATGGAGGTTCAATCGTCCAGGTCATGATTGTCCCAAAGGTGCTTTTTCAACAGGCAACGGGACTTTCTGGGTTTTTCCTTGAAGATATTTAGCTTCTTATCCAAGAAGCTTCTTCAGCTCTTGAGAAGGAGAAAAAAAACTCAAGAAGCGTGGGAAGCTCTTAAAAATATTATCACAAAAGCCCAGCCCAACAAAATACCACTGAAAAAGAGGAAAAAAAGAAATCCAAGAAAAAAACCCAGCATGATTTCACAAAAACATCTCTGATAAACTGAAAGACAACAAGGATAAGTACAAAAAAATGGGAAGAGGCACACATAACTAAGGCACAGTATCAGCAGATAGCCCGAATCTGCAAAGATGAAGTGAGGAAAGCACAGGCTCAGAATGAACAAAGATTTGCAACAAAAGTCAAAGATAATAAAAATGTTTCTTTCAACATATAAATAACCAGAAAAAAGTCAAGGAAACAGTAGGTCCACTTAACAGAGAAGATGGCAAGGAAGTAACTGGCAGCAGAAAGCAGAGCTGCTCAACTCATTCTTTGCATCAGTCTTCATGCCAAAATAAACTCTAGCCCAACCTACCCAAAACCTGACTGTGACAGACTAGAAATAAAAATTAAAATAAGCAAGAAAATGGTTAGAGAACACCTATCTGATCTTGAATATAAATTACCGGGACCTGATGGATTATATCCCAGAGTTCTGAAGGAACCGGCAGATGTTATCATAAAATTATACCATATCTTTCAAAAATCCTGGAACAAAAGGAATTACCGAAGGATTGGAAAAGCACCAATGTGGTTCCTGTCTTCAAAATTTTATTTTCCAAACCACCAGAGGGCAGAAGAAACAATGGCTGGAAACTAACCAAAGGGAGAAGCAACCTGGAATTAAGGAGACGCTTCCTAACAGGACAGTGAGTGGAACAGCTTGCCATCAGAAGCAGTGGTGCTTCTTCACTGGAGGTTTTTAAGAAGAGCCTGGACAGTCACTTGTCTGCAATGGAATATAGGGTCTCCTGCTTGACCAGGGGGCTGGACTAGAAGACCTCCAAGGACCCTTCCAGCTCTATTCTGATTGAACTGAGATTCCATCCTTGCAGACGGGCGTTGTTCCCTAGTGAAGGTTGCAATGCCTAGTTTAGCTTCCATTTGGCTA